TTTTTTTTTTTTTTTTTTTTTTTTTTTTTTTTTTTTTTTTTTTTTTTTTTTTTTTTTTTTTTTTTTTTTTTTTTAATAACCATTATTGAAAAAATAGGCAAAACTTTTTATAAACGTTCAAAGGAAGAAGGCGTAGCTGCCGTGTAAACTGCGTGTTATAGCAGTTACATCTTTTTACTGTTAAAAAGATCGCGATCTTGAGGACTTACGTACAACTTTTCCTATTTCCTTAATTTTATATCAATGTTTTCTAAATTTTTAAAGTTTTTTCATCGTTGGACTCCGACTGCACTTAATAGACTACGCAGTAATTATATAAAATTTGATTAATATAATGTAATTGATTCATATAATATATACTTAATAAAAAGAGATGTATTCATAGATAGCTACAACAATCAAGAAGATTGGGATGATGAAAATGAGGAGGGTTCTGAGGGTGATTGCGAGGAAAATGTAGAAACAGAGAAAGACACTGATAAAGGCGATGATGAAAAAGACGAGGACGATAGTAATAAGGACGAACACGAGGGTTTCTCGTTTAATGTAGATGAGAACAAAACGAAATACGACGAATTCGTAAGTTTTTAAATCTATATTAACATCCGATATTTATCTTCATTTATATATTAATCAAATTTATACTCTAATACTCCGCACTTATCTTGAATGCATTGTTGTATCCAATATTGTTCCTACTCTGTGCACTCTTACGCTATAGCATATACTCTCGTTCATACTTTTTCAACACAGTCTGTCTTACTTTCTCTCATAGTAAGTAGACTTATAACAAATATACTATTAAAATTACCGGTAATAATGTAGGAAATCCTTTTACGTAACGTACCAACATAAACACTTTATTCTCTCATTTTCTTCTTCTCATAAAAAGTTTCACTTCAAAATTGTAACATTGTTAGTTTCAAAGATTCACATTACTTACGAATACTGTTGTCTCATACTCAGGAAAATACGACTACCGCTGCCAATGAAGTAAGGGATTGTGAAGAAAATGAATTCATCGAAAACGTTGACTCACCGACTGATGTCTATCTGGATTCACCGAGCACTTCATCACATGCTGTACTATTAATAGCAACGATAAACTTCGAGGGCACACATCATGACATCATAAGATAATATTTTTGTTTTTTCAATTTTAAAATATTTATTCTTACGTCTGCTTGGATAATACCATAAAAGAATTTTTGACTGATAGTGCTGTTAAGCATATTATGTATATATACATTCAACAATAAAAAATAAAGAAAAAAAATTAAAAAAAAAAACTCATGAAATTTATCCAGGAGAAAGGCAGTGGTGATTTGATACCAGAAATACGTACGGACCGCCCATTTTCAGCTGCTTCCACCTCGAATCCGATCCAGAGTACAACCGATCAAGACATCGGTCTTACTAGAGTATGTTAATTTAATAGAAAGTACACTAATTGACTGATATTGACAGAGTCTCTTTAATCTAAAATATTTTTTTCAAATAAAAGGCTCCCAGACTGAATTCGTAAAACTATAAAAAAATTTTATGCATGAACTTTTTTTTGTATTTTACATTATATAATAGATAAATATTAATTAATAATTATTATGACGTTGTTGTGTGTTATCGATTTAAGGAAAAAAGCGGACAGGCTGATCCCAAACCAATGAAGCGAATCAGTGCACCGGAAAAGAAAAAGAAAAATGTTGCTGTGACGAAGTCAAAGGGAGAAAAAAGACGAAAAGAAAAACTTGAAGAAGAAGCAAAAGATCTAAAAACATAAAGAATAAGAAAAAAAAATGGATGACGATTACATTTATACTTAACTGAAAGGACATACTGAAAGTTTTTTTTGTTTTAAAGGGTATACCATACGAAAAAATTTTAAGCTGGGACAGCTTATAATTATACGTGTTGTATTAGCGTAAGCGATATGGAAGAAGAACCACATGAGCTCAAAACTTGTGAGATTCCTCATCAGCCTAAGCAATCATGATCTCATGACAGCTCGTGCGGTTCTTCTTCCATGTTTCCTGCACCAATACCTATGTTATGTCTTTGCAGTTCATACTGTTTATGCTGCCACAACGCGTATAATGAAGCTGTCGCAGCTTAAATTTTTTTGTGTAGAAAAAAAATGATAGGAGAAATAAAGTTTATAATTAAAAAAAAACCGAAAAGAAAATAAAAAATTGGTAAAAGGCTGTGTATTGTACAAGCATTACAGAGTATTTGTAACATTCTTAGTACTCATGTATATGACAAAATGAGGACTTTCCAGCATTCTTTCCAAATTTTTTTTCTTTCTAGGCCGAATCGATATCTCGAAATTTTTTCGTTTGATTAAATTAAAATATTTAATATGTATTCAAATCTATAGTTTATACAATACGTTAGGTAATTTATGTTTGCTGAAGACATACAGAGCCTTTTACCGATTTTCCGTGTTTTTTCAGTTCTATTGGAAAAAAATNATCTATAGTTTATACAATACGTTAGGTAATTTATGTTTGCTGAAGACATACAGAGCCTTTTACCGATTTTCCGTGTTTTTTCAGTTCTATTGGAAAAAAATTCCTAATTTTTTTTAATTGTCTCTTGAGAGTTGTTTTCCTCTTTATTTAACGAAGATTATACTTTTTAACGTTAGTAATCACGAACTGATTTAAAAATGTTTTAAAACACAATTGTTTTATTTAAGATTGTAAAATTTTGCACATATACCGTGTTAATACGATAATAAGCTGGTAAATTAATTGTTGTTATAATTATTATTGTTGTGTAGTCAATAAATTTATTAAATTATTATAAGTTGTTCAGCTTATCTCGTGAAAAAAATATAAATGAATTGTTATCTCATTTCCAAAGATATCTTAATAAAATTTTGTATTTTCGATTATCTATAAAAAAAAAAAAAAACAATCGTTTCTAAATTTTTTTTTAATGTTTCCCACTACCAATATCTCAATTTTTCTTCAAACTTGTAAGCTCAGTCGGATCACCCCAATATTGAAATATATACTAGAAATGAATGTTCTNAAAAAAAAAAAAAAACAATCGTTTCTAAATTTTTTTTTAATGTTTCCCACTACCAATATCTCAATTTTTCTTCAAACTTGTAAGCTCAGTCGGATCACCCCAATATTGAAATATATACTAGAAATGAATGTTCTTTTCTAGCCTATTTTTTGCTCATTAAATACTTATTTGCACAAAAACGTGTGCAGCTCTTATTTCCAGTGGAACCAGTGTACTTATACAAAATTTCAGCACAATAATTGCCATCCTTCGAGAGTTATAACGTCACTACAAAGTGTCACATGTAAACACACTTATAGATATCCTCTTAAAAACATATTTTTCGTATTTAGGGACTTCGAAAATAATGAGAGAAATAAAAATTAGCTACTTGAACATTTTCACTGTAACAAAGGTTTCCCTTTGAGTAAGAAAAAAAAACTATGACTGCATATCAGAAAATAAATGTTGACCAATTAAATAAAAATGTCAGTAAGCGTCTAATAACAATACATCATGGCTGCTAATTATTTCCCAGACTGTCACAAGTCATAATAAACGGACGTACCGTAGAAGATACACATATCGACCTCCTCGGGGCTGTAGGAAAACGAAAGCCGATATACAACCAAGTACCCACTCTTTAGTACTCTACAACTGTTAGGTTTGTTTTCGGTAACCCGTCGTACATGCTCGGTGCATTCCAGAATCGTATATAATAATATTATAGATATGAGAAAAACGCCATACGGAACGATCACATATGCCGAAGCTTCTACTGTATTAAGAATTTTCAAACGTAAAAAAACTTTCCGTTGTTGCTTTGATTACGTGCTCTTATGACAAAATCGCGTGTTTTATCGTATTGTTGTGGCTCAGTGTGACATAAAAACAAAGCTGTCACTTAAATAAAATTCAAATTGACAAATACAAATTCAAACAAAGCAAGCGATCCGTTGCTATGGACATTTCTCCCGGGAGAATTGTCCTTTGAAAGAAATCCACAAGCTTCTATAGTTCAATGCTGCACCGTAGCAGAGATAAGTAGGGAGATTGCCAGTGCCTATGTTAAAGAGTGTACCGATGTTTTGGCGCTGATTTAAGCGCCAATCCATCGTGGCCAGCAGAGGAACTATGCACACGCTTTCTATTGGCTAGCAGCTTGTAGGCTCGGCTCGCGGGGAGAGGTAAGGGGAGATGAGTGAAGGAGACATGAGAATCCAAATGTGGGCATCGGTGATGGAGAGAGAAGAAGCTAAACCTATATGTATATGCATACAACGGGCTACATATCTATAGCCATAGTTGTACACTGCTCATACGGAAAAAAGCTGCGCGTATTACTTTTCTCGCTTTTCCTCCCTGAAAGAAAGATAAGCTTTTTTTATGTTAATGATCATTCGTTCAACTATAAAAACAAAACATAATTGTCAAGTTATTAACAATTTTTTTTTTCATTTTTCAAAAAATGACAAGCTCAACACAATCACCATATTATTTTGCTTTATTAATAAACGAGCGCCTTTATCCCAATAATCCAATGCGCTCAATTGTTCTTCACTATTATGATAAGTGAAATTATTGAATAATAAATGAAGGCATTCACCACAACGGCACAGTACGCTCAAATATTTTTTGTACTAAGTAATATTATTTACTAATATGCTGAACGCCTTTACCCAAACGCCCCATTGTGCTGATATCTTTATTTGTTAATTTATATTTTTACATCATTAATACATAGCTTAACGGCAATAATACAATAAAGCTTAAATTAAATCTCAAGCTTCGAAACTTTACGATGAACATATGCAACTTTTGGACTCCTCTTACCCTAAGCTTTGATAGCTCAGGTGGCTAGAGCAGGGGGGTAGATTTTAGTTTTGCGACTTCGGGTTCTAATCTCATTCGAAGCCAATTTTTTATTTTTTTATTACAACATTACTTTAAATGTTTCATACTTTTTTTTTAAGATTACTTACGTATTTTGGTTTACCAGTGACTAAAGATTTTTTTTCTTTTTCAATAGTGGTACACGATTCAAGAAAATTTTTTTTTTCCATTCATGGCTACAAAAATAATTTGACGCACCGAGTAAAAGCTTTTCAAGTGAAGTTGATCATTTTAATTTTATATTTTAGTTTGCATTACAATTAAAGACGTTAACGAATTCTTGAATTGCTCGAAAGTATCCTAAAAAGTGATTTTAAACTTTTCTTAAAAATTATAAACAAAACACTTTTTTTTTCATCTTTTGTACATTAAAAATGATTGATTAGTATGTCTTAGAAAGTCAAGTAGAAAAAGCTACTTGTCTTATTGACAAAGAATGTAGACTGTTTTTGTGTTATCTAAAAAATTTACTAGATATTGTTATTATTATTCCTATTATTATTATTATTATTATTATTATTATTATTGTTATTATTATTATGATTACTATTACTACTACTATTATTAGT